CCCCAAAACCCCAAAACCCCAAAACCCCAAAACCCCAAAACCCCAAAACCCCATCACAAATGTTCGAATTTGAAGTTTTAAGGCTGCTAATTTTTGTTCTGAGATTTAACAAAACTCTTTCTCATTTTTGCAAACTGGGTGCCCAAGAGAGGAAGCCCAAATATGTTTGTGAACATCCAGTGTTTGTAGTGTCCAAATGTTTCTGTGTTATAGCCAAGGTCGCTTAAGACCCATCGAGCATGCACTTCTGGCTGGATCACAAGAGGAGCATTGTCTGATACAAGGTTTGAGACTGTTGGGCCTGGAATGACTGCCATTACATCTATATACTTTCCATATTCTTTGCCAATGACATCGGAGAATGTTTTGTTGAATGATTTTGTAGAAGCATAGATTGAGGATCCAGCTAAACGAATGTAGTTCGAGGCAGAACTTATATTTAAGATTGCAGTTCTTTTCTTCTGCTCTTTAGACCTTTGTAACAGTCTTGGTAACAGATATTTTGTTAAGACAATTTGTGGGATGCAATTTACTTGTATCATACTATTTATTATGTTAATGCTTAGATCATTAAAATTTCCTGTATCAAGAGTTCCAACATTGTTGATAAGAACAGAGATGTCTTCAATTTTATCGAGCTCTTCTTTTAATGGTTTGTACCCCTCAGCCGTGTAAGGTTTGTTAAAGTCAAACTCAATGACCTTCACATCGATGCCTTCGTGCTCTCTAGTCAGCTCAACTTTGACAGAGGCAAGTTTGACTGGATTCCTTGCAATTAACACCAAGTTGAAGCCTTTGGCTGCGAACTCTCTGGCGTAACCCAATCCGAGTCCGTCAGTTCCACCAGTGATGACTATATATCCTCCGTGATATCTCTTGAACAAGTTTTTGCCAGGCCTCAGGAAGGTTTTGAAGAACCTCCAAGACCAGTTGAGAGCAGTGGATCCCACCGTGTATGCACCATAGAGACAGAAGGCAGCCATGAGGTGTGTATGTTTGTGTCCGAAAGACTCAAGACTGTCTTTTACAGAGGCATGGATATTACTCAACATGTTTGATTTTTATTTATTTGTTCTATCTTTCTTTATCCAAAAGGGGTTTTGGGGTTTTGGGGTTTTGGGGTTTTGGGG